ACTAAAATAATATAATAAAATTTAGCTCCTACGAAGTACTCTTCGGATATAATATATCCTTCTATATATACGACGAGGCTATTATAGAAGAAAAAGGGCTACTAGGAGTATAAGCTAGGATTAAGAAACTATAGAGCTTATATAAGAAGTTAATAACTTACTAGCGAAAGGCTAATAAATTAATAGTAAAATACTATAATACTAAAAGAATCCCTATAATATTTAAATATAATAATCTTATAATACTTTCTACGTAAAACTTACGAATTAAATAATCTAGGAAGCTTACTCCTAGGAGAATTAGCCTATTCCGAATCCTATAACTAACTAGGACTTAGCTATATAGACTAGTATTACCCTAAAAATATATATACCTCTATAATATTTTTTACGTCTCCTTTCTAGAAAAATAGTATAATAATCTATCGCGAAGTACTCCTAAAATACTCCTACTTCCTAACCTCGTCGAAGACGACTAAGAATACGAAGTTAAAGAAGTTAAATGGAAGGCGAAGATTAACGGATAACTCTATTTCCTAGTTTAAACTAGCCCTCTAAATATAATAAATAGGTACCTAAAGAGAATATATAAAATATAAAATAATCTATCGCGAAGTTTAAAAATATATAGAAATATATAAGATAAAACTAGATCGAATCCGCTATAATTTATCTTAGAAATACTCTATAAACTCTAATACTATATTCTTTATCGCGGTCGCTTCTACTATAAATATACTATTCGCTATTATCATAGTCTTTAAGCGCTCGGTAAAATTAACTAGCCTAGTCTACTATGATATAAACCTAGCGTCTCCTTCTTTAAGACCGAGATACTAGTCTATATATATAATAAGAGGGCCGAAAGCCGTAATTAGGTTCTAGCGACGTAACGCTATCTTTTCCGAATAAAAACGACGGTATCTCTATAGAGAAAATTTATTAGAAAGATTTATTAAGAAATTACGGGCGATCTATATCTTTTATATATACTTTAGATCTTTAAAAATATACTTCTTTTTATAGGTATATATAATCCCTAAGAAAGTTATAGTAAAGTTCTTACTTATCTAAAATAGATCGGAATAGATACTAACTAGCTAAACTAGAATATATAATAGCCTAGATATAACTACGATCTCCTAGGTACTATTAAAGATTATCTAATAAATCTTTAAAAGAAAATAGAATATCTATATATCCTAGATTATTAATATAGAAGTCTTATAACTTATTAGTAATTTAGAAGTAATTCGGAGAGAGTAGAAAACTTATAGTCTTATATATATTATAGTTACTCTTATAGTTATTATAGAGTACTAATCCTAAGTAGTTAAACCTATACTCTACTATAAAAGGGACTATTATAACTAGATAGTTATACTCTATCTTAGTTTTACTAAAATACTTTAGATACTAGAGAAAATCGGGGCTTATAGCTACGAAGTTTAGCGTAGGAGATATATAGCCTATCCCGCTAGTAGCCTCGTAGCGACGACGATTCTAATAATAATAGGGTATTCTGAAACTAAGCTTAAATAAGGATAATAGATTAAAGTAAGTCGAAATACCCTTATCCGCGGGAATATTGATACTATAAGTCTTCGGGAGCGAATCGTTAACAAAGTACTCTACCGCGGGTAAATTCTTAGCTCCCCGACTAACGCTAATCCGTCGAATAGGGATCGAACACCCTATCGCGATTTCTTTTAAACGGTATCGCCGATAGTAGTAGGAAAGTACGGCTACGTAATACGGGAATCTTTTATTTATACCTATATCTCCTAAATTTAAGGATATAGCGTTCCGTATATAATATATCTACGATTTATTATCCTAGTACCACGATAAAGTCCGAGTTATAGTATCCCCTAGATAAAATATCCCTAGTCGGGGCGACTAGTATAGAAGGGGGGAATAGTTATTACGGCGCGAGTTATATATAGTAACTCAAGATGATTTACGATCGAATCGACCCCGCGCTACCTTAGGGTAATAACCCTTAAGATATTATATAGGCCTATATATATATATATATATATATTATAGAAACTAGTAGAGTCTACCCGGACTCTAAGATTTAGTCTTTAAAATCAGACCCTATAGACTTAGACTCTCTGCCTAGCTAACAGGTTCTCTGTCCTACGATATAGACCCCCTAATAGTAAGGGATAACTAGTATATTACTATTCTATATAGAAAGAGGCTATGAACTAAGAGTATTATTCGACTAGGAAGCGCTAGAAGAGCTCGACTCGTAGTAATATATATAACCTCGACTCCGACCTTATTAAGGAGATCCCTCTCAAGAAGTTTAAGTAGCATAGGATTATACTAGTAACCTAAAAGAGATTTAGCAGTAATATTAATAGTAAGTAACCGCGGCTTAGAAGCGCTTTAAGAAATATACTAATCGATATCGTAGACTAGAAGATTTTAATATTAGAGACCTAGTTTATATAACTTCAAAAAATTAGAAGACTCCCTAATCTAGTCGTAAGCTCGTATACTTAGCTTATAGACTATTTAAAATCCTCGGAAAGGTAGGGGATACGTATAAAATCGAGCTACGAGATTCGATGAAGGTATATCTAATATTCTCTCTAGATAAAATACGAAAAGCTTCTAAGTCTAAACTATTATAAGATTAACTACTGGATCCGGAACTACCGGTTAAGATCGTTAAAGGAGAGTAGGAATAGGAAGTTGAAAAAATTCTTATACTATAACTACGGTACCGAAAATTATAGTATTAAGTAGAAAGATAATAAGTATAACGATAACTAGTATCCTGTAAGGAACTTTAAAAATTTACTAGAGAGAATCATAGAATACCACAGAGAATATCCTAATTAGCTAGGACCACCGAAAAGACTATAAAATTAGGCCGAAGCTATACTAAAGAATAAAATTAACGAGGATTACTAGGACGACGATAAACCGGTTAACTAAACGACTTATTACTAACGCTGCTAGGGCTGGATTTAATAGACCTAGAGGGCTAGGTCCTCTAAAGAAGGGGGTAATATTACGAACATAGCAGGACCGGATAACCTTAGGATAAGAGGAAGAACATAGGAGGATATAGACACGCCCACTACGTATACCACGCGCACCACGCGCACCACCTCAAACCTTGGGATATACTATAGCTTCTTCTTTCTCTTTTTCCTCTCTAGCTCTTGAGATTCTCGAATACTACGTAGATAAGTTTGAATAAGAGTTTATAGGTCCTTCTAAAGCTTTTCCCAACTAGCTTATAACAGAGATAACCTATTTAACTAGCGAATTCTCTTCCAGTTAGGTTAATTTATAAGTAGATAGGCGTTAATCGACGCGTGTCTATCTCCTACTCGCGCGAGTAGCGAGAGTTCGGTAGGGTATATCGTATAGCTTTATAGCTACGCGAATCGATTCGATATAGCTATTTTTAATATATTTAAGGGCTAATAAGACCTTTCCCTCTTAGTTAGCTAGTTTCTGTTAAAATCTAGTAGGAATTAGTAGTATAGTAGATAGTTAAAGAAGATAGATAGATAGACGCGATTCTTAGTAAGGTGTACCGCTTAACCGGGTACGCCGCGAAGCTAGGAATTACGTTATATAGACGCGAGTTACGTGATATATTACCCGAGAGTCGAGACAGAAGGACGACGTACCACGAGCGGAGATTAAGACTAATTATATAGTCAAGATAGAAGTAAATATCTAGGGAATGTCTCGTGATATAACTACGGGGGCGGTTAATTCTGCTATAGCTAGCTAATTAGAGTATAGGAATAAAATTCTTAGTGATTATATAAGAAGTAACTTCTCGTTCTACTCTAACTTATAATTATATCTAAGAAATCTTTTAAATAGAAGGATTTTTAATCTATATTTTTGAATTAAGCCTAATCGAATTGATATAATATCTTTATTTAATCCTATAGCTGAAATATTATCTATATAAATTATAATTAAGACTTTATAGTATTAGTATTTCTAAAACTTTAAGACTCTAATCTAAGAGGTTTAATTTAATTCATAAAAGATTACTTTTAAAGATTTTATACTATAAATAACTAGCTTAGTATAAGCTATATAGGACTTAGTTCAAAATTTATAGACAATCTTTATTATTTAGACTATAAATCTTATATCTAGTTAGTTTTTTAGGGGAAAAATAATATAATTATTAATTATTATATTAATATGTATACTAATAATATTCTATTACTCTATTTCTTTTTTCTTAACAGTTACTAATATTACGAATAACTTGGTAGAGATATCTCCTATACGGAGATATATCTCTTATTAGATTAGGAATTAATATCTAGGGTTTAGTAATTGCTATAAATCATCTATCTTACTTAGAATTCTAAAACTTAACTATTATAGTCTTATTTTGTGTTTTAGATTTATGATCTATCTTTCGAGTAAGGGTATTTTTATAAATAGACCCATTCGAGAAACCAGAAGCTAGGGAAGAGACAGTCTTATGGTATTTTCCAACCTCATTCTCATGATGTCTCTTCTGATCTTACTGATTCTTGAGTCTTTTCACATTCGGCCTGTCACAGGAAATCCTAACATGATAGTAGTGACCGAGAATTTTGAGCCCCGATGTGAATCATATGAGAACTAATGTCCGCAGACTGTACATGTCTTAGTTATTGATGCTCGTGGATCTTACGGGGCTGGTGTCGAGGAAGCTCCCTCCAGCATCTCCTCTTACATCGTTAATCCAGGGCGAGTAAACCCTACCAGTAAATGGATTCAGAAGAGATCAGCACAGTTACGGCTATCTTTCATCAACCAGGGCCTCTTAGTTGAGGCTTCATTGAACAACAAATGTACGAATACCCTGATAAGATTGAAATGGCTGGTATTCGACAGACAATAAGACAAGCCGACTACAGCTGAGCAAGAAAAAGAACGAACAAGTAATAGAACGGACAAGCAACAGAATCAAATACGTCAAACAGAAAATAAAGTACACCATAGCAAAGTAACGGCTAGTTTGTGGAGGAAAAAGATCTGCGTAGTCCCTCAGTATGACTAGAGCTTCTGGGGTAAGTCCCGTAGTCTCGGGAAGCACCTGATGGGGAGCAGAGAATCTCAGTTTCTCGGACATCTGGAGGGAGCAGGAACCCGCCCTTGATAGTCATGCGATGTTGAGGAATCGGAAGCGGTCGGTGGTCATCTTTCAAAAGGTCTCGAGTAGCAAGTGGACATTCGAAGTTCTGGAAACAAACAGCAAGGCAAGTATTGTCTGCAAGATTTCCCAAGCACAGAGCAGATCCGGAGAGGCCTGTTACGGAATCCCAATCATGTCCGGTACGCCAGAGAAGAGAAACACTTTGCGAAGTCACAGTTCGGTCCCAGCAGTACTGAGAGCCTTCTGATATCGCAACTTGCGCCTGTCTTGAGATGCCGGTGCACTCAAATTTCTTGAGGTTGCCCGTGTTAATATTGAATCCCGTCACAAACGCTGGGCCTCCATTGAGCAAAGCTTGGTATTCTCCCCAGCCAGTGACACGAGGCGTCTTTGGCGGAGCCTGAAGGTCTGGAAGCGGCGCAAGGTTGGCAGAAGTCAACGACAGATCATGCTGGAATCCGACCGGGAACCGCAAAGGCTTTTGAGAGACTTCATCGTACGAGGACGAGATTACACCAACCTTTGATAGAAATATTAGTATATTTCCGGAACAGTTCGGTTGACCGGACATTACGACATACCTCCTGAGAACCGCCGGCAAGGAAAACCCGCTTCCCGACGACTGAATTACCCTTTGACTCACACCGTGAGAACCCGATCGCTGGTGACGGTGTTCCCCGTCGGAGGGGTCGATACCGAGCAAGCCTCTGTTTCAGACGAGCGTAAACATCTGCGAGGAAGCGAGTAGGAGTACTTCGGTCACCATCACGAAGGGTGACGAAAGCATGGGTGGGAACAGTGATGACCTCGCGACCATCTGAGAACCTGAGTTTGAGCCCCAGAGAAGCAAGCGACCTGAGATCTTCTGGTTCAGCGGAGATGGCTGCACCTCGCTGCACCACCTGCACTGTCGGTGTCACTTCGAGGACGTCGTACCTCAGTCTGAGGTTTCCGAATGAACAAGCGAAACCATCCTCATACCATGACTTTTCGATGTCTTTGATCGTCTTAAACAGGACTACAATAAAGCCGCTGATCAAGATTCTCACCCCCAGAGCTGTGGGAAACATATCCCGGAGGCGGCGAAGTTGATTCCGGGAAAGGAACTTGCGTGGGTTTATTGGCCGCGGAATAGGATCATGCTGAAGCATCGGAAAAATCGTGATAGTAGGTGAGATGTAGCCGAGGGCCTCGAAATGTATCTCGAGGTCGCCTGCATGGGAGCCGATGTTGTGCGTTTTCTCCGCTTCTGGTAAAATCCCCCACATCCATGTGCCGTTCTCCTCTTCAATGAGGTGGACTTCTTGGCAAAGGGCCAGAGACGGGTGGTACGTCCGAAACAGGGCCTCGTTCTCAGGCGTCACTCGAGGCTCCGCAAGAGCTCGCTCTGCTGCGAGTGCAGGTGTTCCCCACAGTATGGAGTCAGTAACTAGAAAAGCCTGATTAGCGAGAGTTTCCTTATTGACGCTTGTTGACACTTACTTTGAATCCGCCGGCACTTTCGATAGCTACATGCTGGCTCAGTGCCCTCTCCGTCGTCGTCATTGACGCAGTCGCTGTCAAGTTTCGGGTAAGGGAACAGAGACTCGGGGGTAACGCCCACCATCCGCCTCTTGGTTGGAGACGATGGCGGCGAAGAATCCAGACGAGTGCAAGACATGACGGACGCGTTCTAAGCAGGAGAGCGCAGCGCAGATGTGTATGAGATGGAGTAGAAACTGGCAGAAGCTGGCTACCAAAGTCAGGGAATAAGTCGTTAGTGTGCCTTCCTAATTGGGACGCGGGACAGCCCGGTCCACCATCACCGCACCGTCATCTTGATACTCGCAATGAGGTATGAGTAATACAACCTAGGTAGGGATCCAGTGAATTAGAGGTATTTGTTAAGATAGCTTAGTGGTCCGGCGCGCACCACGCTAGTGCGCGCCCACGCACACCACCTTCAGTAGCTTAGATAGGCACCTCTCACCAGATGCAATCTCACCATTCCTTTCTCCCCTCTTTTAGATCTGCTACGTTTCCAGTAGCCCTCCAATAGGTTATAAGCCCTGCTTAGCGCGATTGAGCAAGCCATTCACTTAGTCTTACTCACCTAAGCACCAACTTACATAATAACCTCTTTTTCCATCAATTTTCGGTGCATCCTGCGCATCCTACGGCCTTACGCACCTTTTTACGACTTAACGGTCCTTTCGCACCTTCTTACGACTTAACGACACCTTTACAACTATTTCCGACTTAGGGGTACCTTTTGAGGAAAAGGCACTACACCCTCAAGAGATATATTTCTGCACTCGCCACGCAATCGCTGACTTAGACGCTACTTCCACGACGAGATTCGCCCCTATAGAGGCACCTAAGACCCCCTAACGCGCGCCCCCTAAGGATAATACTATTTATACTCGGCTACCCGATACTACCCCTATAAACCTATATACTACTAGGTAAACTACGACCCTACCCTAAGGTTATCTTTCTCCCCTAGTTCTTAACCTTAATATAGATTATAGTACGAAGAAATATCTAAAGCTATCTGCTAGCCTGAGGAAAGCTTCCGGAATATCTACTAACTTCTCTCTAGAGGATCTTAAAGCCTCTATAAATACTATATTCTAGGAAGTCCTAAATAAGATATAATACTACTAGGCCCTCTATATAAGACTAGTGACTATATTGAATAACTTTATAGTAAGCTATAAAGAGAAAGATAGAGAGAAAGTATATATCTTTATATACTCCTTCCTATAATATCTTTCTACTATTAGCTTTATCGAATCTGGGGATACTATCTACTACTTAGTATAAGTAGCTAGCTATTCCTCCTAGATTAAAGAGAAATCGGTCTTCTAGGCTAATAAGATCCGGAGGACCTCTAAGATCCTAATAAGAGTATATCTCTAGGATAGTCTGTCTTCTACTAAAAACTCTATATAGAAATAGCTATCCTCGGTATATAGTAGATCTATCCTCTTATATAATAAATACGATAATAGATATATTCTTATTATCTTTATTCCTAAGAGAAGACTAGCTAGATCTAATCCCTAATAGATCCGCGAAATACTTATTAAGACTGTTCTAGGCTTAATAGATATCGGCTAAGTCCTATATATTAATACTATAAAGACTAACTAGATAGTATTCCCTAAAAATAATATTATATAAGATATTCTTATAGTATCTATAACTATAGATAAAATCTATAGATTCCTTAGTACTAAATTAGTATAATACCCTATTATCTAGTTTAACTATACTATCTCTAGGATTTCTAACTTAATTATATCCTATAATAGAGAATAGATTAATACTATCTCCCTAATCCTAGATAAGATAGAGGCTTAGACTAGATAGAAGTCTATTAGCTACTAACTCTTACGATTTAGGATTAATCCTCTTACCGGATAAGAGATCTAGATTATCTTCTTTCTCGAGCTAGTCTAGAGTTTCTCCCTATTCGGTAAAATATAGTCCTCGAGGCTTATCGAGAAGAAATAGATAGCTATCCTATATAATCTAGGCTGCTAAGGATATTATTACTAGCTAAAATATAAGTAGATCCTAAGATATAATAACTATAGAAAGCCTATATAGGGATATAATAGCCCCTTAGACCTAAATTATACTAGAGTCCTAAGATATACTAACTACTATAGCTTCTTTATAGTAGACTATAATCTCTATCCTATAGTCCTATAATACTCTTATAGGAAACTTTAGTTCTCTACTAAGTAATAAATCTAGGAAGTATATAGGTTTAATATTAGGAACTACTAGACTACTTATACTAGGACCTAGGCCTATAATAATAGGACTAAATAGGAGCTACTCGATAAGCTATAGATAGTATTTAACTGAGGATCTTACGAAGGAAAACCCTTAAAGGTAAAAAACACTCAACGTTGACTAGGAGAGGAGGAAGAAGGAAGCTAAGCTAGACTACTAAGGTTAGTAGTCCTAGGTAGTAAGGGTGTAGCCTATGTATATGCTAGGTAGTATAGTAGGCCTCACCATAAATACCCCCTAGACCGCTAAATTCTTAAAGAAATCGCTAAAATCCATACTATTATACCTTATATACGTTCCTAGAAATTAAAAATACCTTTAGTTAATAATTTCGAGATTACTTCGTAGGAAGCTATTATATCCCTAGAAGATTAATAAATCTCTTATATTATATTTTCGTAAGTAGCTTAGTCAGACTATCTACTACCTACTCTACTATAGGAATCTATTTAAATTTATAGACCCCTTTCGTAACTTAATACCTAATATAGTAGAATTTTATATTAATATACTTAGTTCTTTAGTAAAACTTAGGATTTTCCGTGAGGTATATAGTACCTTAGTTATCCTTATAAATAAGTGTAGGAAGCTCGAGGAGAAAGTCGAATTATAGCTCCCTTAGGAAAAGTTAGAGCTAAACTATCTCTTATATAGCTAGAGATATAGTAATATATTCGCTCTCTATTAATAATAGTATAATATAGGTTTACTTCTTCGAGACCTACGAGACTAGTCTTCCTCTAAGCTTAAATACGAAGCCGGAGGTTAATATAGTATTATTAGCGTAGCGATCTACCTAATCTATATCTATATAGCTATAAAGAGGATCTAAATTCTATCTATAATAGATTAAGAGATCCTTAGTACCTTTAAGGTAACGAAATACTCTCTTAAGAGCTATAAAGTACGGTTTAGAAGGATTATAAGAGTAGCGTACGAGTTTAGTAATAGTATATTAAATATTAGGTCTAGAGTTAACTATAAGCTATATTAAGGAACTAACTTTCTTATAGAATTCTAATACTTCCTCTATAGTTACGGTACTATTATAAGATTATAGGACCTCTTAGTTAAAGAAGGGTAAAGGTACGGGATAGTAATCCTATAAGTTAAAATCTATAAGGATCTTCTTAATATATACTTATTAGCTTAAAAAGATTATATCGTTATATTATATAATATTAATCGCTAAGAAACGCCTAGGGACCTTATTATTAGTAAGATCGAATATTTTAGAAAGTATTTACTTTAGCTATATAATATCCTTATCGGAAGGAGATATAATTAGGTGGTCGTTAATATAAATTAGTATATAAATATAGTAGTTAGCTTAGGCTATTAAGGTAACTATATAAAAGACGTAGTAATCTGCTTTAGATCGTATAAATCCGAGTACTATAAATATATTATATACTATATCATACTATTCCCTTAGGCTCTATTTAAGGCTATATAAGGTTTTTATAAGTAGACTATATTTCGAAGGACTATACTATTCGCGGATTCCTTTAGGAAGATTGATATAGATCTCCTCGGTTAATTTAGCGTTTAGGAAAGTAGATATAAAATTAATTAAATAATAGTACTATCTAAGAGCTATAGTAATAGCTATAAATAGCTTAAAGCTTATTACTTTAGCTATTAATATATAGATATTAAGGTAATCGACTTCCTACCGTTATTTAAAACCTTTTATAATAAGACGAGCTTTATAAGTACTATTATATTTAACCTTAAATACCTATTAAATCAGAATAGGCCTTTTATTCTTAGGACGCTTAATATCACGGCGCGAGTTATATATAGTGACTTAAGACGATTTACGATCGAATCGACCCCGCGTCGCCTTAGGGTAACAACCCTCGAGATATTATATAGAATTATAGGGACTCGGTATATAGGAACCCTATATATATATTATAGTAACTAGTAGAGTCTAACCGGACTCTAAGATTTAAGCTTTAAAATTAGATCCTATAGACTTAGACTCTCTACCTAGCTAATAGGTTCTCTATCCTATAATATAGACCCTATAATAATTACTAAATCTTCCTATTTAGCTACCTAGGGATAAAATATCTATACTAATAACCTATTAACGATCCGCCTATCTTATAGTAGCGGAACGATCCCGACGAGTTAGTAAGGGACTTAGATAATCCTCTAGTAGGTTTAGCCTAACCCCTCGGGACCTAGAAGATAGGTCTAGCTATAAGGTATAGTCTCCCGAATAGACCGAACCTAATAATTAAAATACTCTCGATCGCCTTTTAGAGCGGATCTAATAACTCGAATATAAAGCTACGATTTAGCGACGAATACTCCCGAACCCTAACTAGCGCCTCCTCTTCCCTATCGACCCCGAGGCGTTAAAATTAAAATTAATAGTATCTCGTACCGCTTAAGCTCTATACTAACCCTAGAGTAATATATCTAGTAGCTCGATAAATTAGAATATATCTTCGATACGAGTCCCGACCGATATATAAGTAATTTATATAAGATTCCTATCGGGTTCTTTATATTAGAACCGACCTAATAGGCTTAGTAGACGAATTATAAAAAGACCGAGTTTATAGCCTAATAGCCTACCTAGGATAACTTTATTAACTAGACGCTAGAGTTTATTTAGGGTAGTCGATTTACTAAGGCTAATATTACGGAAAAATACTATACTACTTACTAACTCGAAGACTAAGATCCGCGCGCGTTTTATAACTATCTCTAATCTATCGAAAATTATATAAGTATTTAGAAAAAAGAGTGTACTCTTAGCTACTATATAAAGTTATATCTAGTTCTTAAAAATAAACTTAAAGTACTATACTAGAATAATCTTCTAGAAAATTATACTAATATAGTTTTAGCCGTGAT